TAGATTGGAGTACACGCCCCTATTTCTCCTTCATTGAGTTGGATTTAGTGTTTGTTCAGAAGGTCAATAAAATGTGTGTAAATATGACAGCAGAATCCTCTCTATTTAAATATAACATACTAGAAAACTGGACGGATCTTTCATTAAATAGATGGACAGTCCTCTAGAATAATTATGAAGCATCTAAAAACTCAAGAAACGGTTTTATCAATGAATATTGACTTATAAAGAAAACTATTTTGACACTGATATCAGTTCAATGAAAATTAAATTTTACAATTCTAACTTTTATTGGAACTAGCTATTCTAAATAGGACAAATATAAACTGTGGATTTTCACAATCCATCATCATGGACTGCAGAAAAATTACTGACAAGGCTAACAGGTCGTTCCCTTTTGTTTATGTCCGAGAGTGTAATTTTCAATTAAAAGTAGGTTAACATTGCCTCGGGAATAGAGTAATGAAATGGTTCACCAACATTCTGGTCGCGTTTAGAAAAAATAAATCAAGTTATTTGGGAAAGTAATTTTTGAAAAGATGAAATTATCTTTTTGTCCTATCGAAGTAAGCACTGACAACTACGTTTTTTCGTTGTTTTTTTATCAAACATTAATGAAAATATGCAAGTTATATGTTACCCTAAAGTATCCATGTTCCACACAACAAGAATTGTTTGAAACATAACGTTTAGTGTAAATTATGTATTACATAAACGTATATATCTCTCACACAACAAATATTGTTTCAAACATAACGTTTAGTGTAAATTATGTCTTACGTAAAAGTATATATCTCTCACACAATAAACATTGTTTCAAACATAACGTTTAGTGTAAATTATGTCTTACGTAAAAGTATCCATGTTCCACACAACAAACATTGCAATTAGGAAACATGTGCTTTATATATTTTTCAGATTGTGTGTGTGTGTGTGTGCAATTAAGTAGAGACTAAACTTCCTTTTAAACACGAACTTCACCAATCAAACACATAGGAGCCTCTAATGGTTTATCTAAATATGTTGTAATTGTACTTTAATAATGAATATTTATATACTCCGAAAGTTTTTCAGCATTGACAGATTAATAAAGATTACAACAGATAGGTTGCCCAACGGTCTTACAAAGCAGCATTTATTGATGAATCGCAGAAAGGTTGTGAGACCT